GAAGAAGAAGAAGTCTGTAATCTTTATTTGTAATGTTTGGAGTTTTTAGCCTCACAGTGGATTTGATAAATTATTTATAGAATTGAAAATAAATTTGAAAATATTTACTTGTACAGAGAAGAAAATTTATGAAAATATAAACAGCTTATCCTTATGAGCAAGACTGAATTCTCAGTTGACTAGACACGTCAGCTTCTGTCCTTGTCAACTCCAATTTCTTACACCTGAATCTACCAAAGACTGAATCTATCTGGAGATTCAGGCCCATCTTTGTTTCACAGTTCTTTCAAGTGTAGAAAGTTTATCAATCTCTGCCCCACTTACTTGTGGAATTTAAAACTAAATTTTCCTGCTCACACAAAAAACTTATCAGTCTATCTCTGACTACCTACTTCTGTGTATTCTTCTAAGCTACAATATTCTCTCTTTATTGACCCATCTCTCCATATTTCAACATAAAGTTGAAAGTATCTTTCAGCGCTTTGTTACTAATTTGCCTAATAACTGAATACTAAAAATCTTTCCGTGAACCTTTACTGGTACTGGAAATCTTGTGACTTTGCTTAACTTCTTTTGCCAGTCTGCCTTGGGGCAGGGTCTTACTTCCCATACTCTTTATCTGTACACAGTTGTCCTGCCACATACAGGTAAATGCTTTGCCTCAACTACTGCACTGTCTTACTTCCAACCTGGACCGGTTGTTAAATTTCTTAATGCAAGTACCATATTCTGGCCCTGGTCATTACATGAACCTCACCACTGAGTTTTACTACTTTTTAGGTATTCTGCCTTAGAATGCCTGTTTACCGAACAAGATTTGATAACTGGGTTCAGAATTTTTAAGGTAGTACAAGCCATGAACATTTTGTGTACAGAATTCAAAAATCAGTTGTTTCTCATTGAAATAAAAAAGTGAGCTTAAATAAGCAGTTAAAATGGGTTAAATATGGGTCTTTCACTGTATTACTTTTACTCAATATTGACTTTGTTAATAAGAGTTGGGAATAAACCATATACATGCGTGGCTCAATACATCAAGTCTAACAAGTAAAACTTCCCCTGTAGGGTCTGCATGTAAAGACTGCCAATGTAAATTTTGTTATGAAAACCTGTTATCTGATGTTTTATCTAGTATTTTTATTAACAAATACATTTTCCTATTTGTGAGACTCCAGTGTCACATTGATGTCTGTCCTGTGGTTATTTCTCAGCATCACAGAACATGTCCTGCTACTGGGAGTTTAATTACTTTCTTTGTAACTCACTGTGTAATAGCTGATTTTCACCTTTTAACACTTTTTCTCCCTGTACTTCCAACCCCAGAAGTGCTGTTGCAGTGAATATTCCTTCAGAGCAAACCATTAGTTCTAGCCCTTTCTGTTTTTTTAAAGTAGTATGTGATATATGGTTGGGTCTTATGAAAACTAAAAACCCAGTTACAAATGTAGCATAGAGACAAATGAAGCCAAATTTTGGGCCTGGGGATGAGATGGTTGTGAGAATAGGTGGAGATTCTGTGTGGAAAATATGACCTCTTAAGGTTACTATGCTAATAAATTAGAATATCAAACATGAAGTTGTTAATGTATGAATAATACTGACTTACCTCAAATAAGATGTTCAGATTGAGAGTATGAGATGAGAAGTCTGAGTCAACAAAGTAAAATGTGATGGGTTATATTAGCAAAACAAGTTAAGTGGGAGTTACCTGAAACTAGCTCCTGGGCATCATCAGTTCCTCACTGTTGGAGCTACTTTTGTAGCTATGTTTGTTCAACGTTTTCAGAGTTCAGTTTAACAAAATAATTACACAGACTTAATAATATGAGGCAGATCCTTTCACTTACGTAAACAACATGGGAATAGACTAGTCCGTTAGAATTACCATTTCATTTTACGAAACTTCAATTTATGAAACTTACTATATTCAAATTTTTAGGAGATAATTCTTGTTACCACCTAGATGGTTTGTTTAACTTCTGTTAAATTTTCTATATTCTAAATGTCTAAATACTGTTTACTGTTTAGCTTTTCAATATAAGGAAATAATATTAGTGCTGAAAGTAACTTTCAGGTGCCATGTAATGAATAGAAACCGGTGATGCTAAAAGCTAAGTCTTTAATTACCTATTTGGAGTTGGCATTGATATCCGAAGCAACAACATCCTGAATCCATAAAAAGGCAAAAATTGCAGTTTAATCTTTTTAGGATAAATTATCTTAAAGATGATTTAAAGATAATCACATTCTAAATTACTTTTCCAGAATTTATTTCATAATATGGTCTATGTATGTCCTAGTCTCACATACAAAGAAGGTATTGATTTCACACATTTAATACATCTATATTTATAAAACAACTTGCCTCAAAGAGTACAGGGACATTTTTATGTCATAAAATGTTGAATTAATAAATTTTTTTAGTAAAAGGTATTTTTTTTACCACTTCACACACTCTAGGATGCATAATCAAAAGGCAGACAAAGATCAGTGTGGTTGAGAATGTGGAGAAATTGGCATCCTTGTTATTGCTGACAGGAATGTAAAATGGTGCAACCATGTTGGAAAAAAGTTGGGCAGTTTCTCAAAAAGTTAAAAATAGAGTGACATATGACATAGCAATTCTGTTCCTAGGTATATAACCAAGAGAAATGAATTCATGTTTACACAAAAACTTGTACATAAATGTTCATGGTACCATTATTCATCGTAGCCCAAAATCAGAAACAACCCAAATGTCCATCAACTGATGATGGATAAGTAAAATGTGATATAGTTATACAATTGAATGTTATTCGGTTATAAAAAGGAATGAAATGTTGATTCATGCTACAACATGAATGAACCTTGAAAACACCAGAAGGCCACATATTATATGATTCCATTTATATGAAATGTTCAGAGTAAGCAAACTTTTAGAGACAAAAAGTAGATCAGTGGTTGCCAGGCCTGGATGAGGAGGAGAATAGGGAGTGACTAATGAACATGGGGATTTTTTAGGGTAGTTAAAATGTTTTTAATTAGATAATGGTGTGCAACTTTGTAAATAAGCTAAAAACCACAGAATTGTGTATGTTAAAAGAGTGAATTTTATGATATATGAATTATGTCTCAGTAAATAATTTATCAGTATTTGTTTTTCTATATAAAAAGGTATTTTTTAATAAAATTGTAAAAAGTTTTATATAATTAATACCAGGATTTTCCAAAAAAGTTAATCACAAAAACTGACATTCACTTTAAAGCTTTACTGTATATTAATGTGAAATGTGCATTGTATGGAACTTACACCCATCTGAGAGTTGAAGTAGCCCATGGTGTGTATCTAATGCCTATCTTCTCTGATTATATTTTGAATGGTATTTTGACTCACTGACAGGGGTGAAATAGCCTTTAAAAAGCATTTTAAAGTTTATCTTACCTCAGAAATGTCAGTTATGAATATTATGTAATAGCAGAAAGACTATCACTGTGAAGTGACTATGCTCTCTGCTTCACTGCCCTGCACGTAACTCACATTTCTTCTCCCTAGAATGCTTCCCACCCCTTACCTCCTCCTGCCTTACACACACACACACACACACACACACCCTTCACACAAACCAAGTTAGGTCTCCTTCATATATGTTCCCATTGATCCTAGAGATTACCCTATTGAAGCACTTACTATACTCCATTGAATTTTCATGTTTATTTGCCTGTTCTCCCCAGAAAACTGTAAGTTATTTTTAAAAGCAATATTTTATCTACCAATATATACACATTACCTAGCATACTGACTAGCTCAATAAATATTTGAATAAATGAATTTTAATAACATACCTAGCATTATACTGGGTTCATAATAGCTCCCTGAAAAGATATAGTGTATCTGTATTTTACTTTTCTGTTAGAACACAATCAACCTTAAGCATTTTCAAATTTATAGTATGTGGTGATTTATATGTTAAGTGGAAATGTTTTTATTATTAGTTATACCTATGGAATGAGGAGAATGTTCCTTATCTGAGTTGTAATAGCCTACTTGTAGGCCTATATTTATCTTCACAGTTTGTACATTTTTTTCTTGTAATATCAAAATATATGTATATTTACTAAGTTTATTTTGCAAATGTTTCAAGAATTTGTAGTTTAATGTGCATATTTCATTGCTTTCTTCTCCATCTGACATTATTTAGATTTAGGATGAAATAGCAAGCTGGGAAACAATGCCATAGACTTAAGAAGGCCTATGAAAAGTATAGAAATTAAATCATTCCAAGCAATGTAACTGAAATTTGTTCTTGCCATTTACAAAATAATAGGAAATAATTATTTTGGGGTAGAAGGAATGAAAATGAGGGTAGAATGGTAAAAGTTAATTGATATGTTCACTGGAATTACATATTTTCATACATACACCTACCTAAATTCTTTATAAAAGCTTTGCTGAATAAATATAAATTATTAACTGCACAAATATAGGGGAGTAGAAAATGTAGAAGTAAGGTTTATGAGTATATAAATCATTGAGACTGCTTTCTTTAGAGTGTCATAACCATTCTGCTTCTTTCAGGTACAGAGAACTACAACTTAGTACAGAAAGCAAAGTAACAGAATTTCTCCATCAAAGTAAATTAAAATCTTTTGAAAGTGAGCGTGTTCAACTTCTACAAGAGGAAACGGCAAGAAATCTTACACAGTGTCAATTGGAATGTGAAAAATATCAGAAAAAATTGGAGGTACATGTACGAGCTTTTCTTTCCACATTAGCATGGCATGTAAAGTCCCTAAGTGCAAGATTTATATTGAGCTTTGTTTCTCCTATAGGATGTGGCACTGTCCTGCAAAAAAAAAAGGAAATATGTATTTCAGAAAGATGTATACTGAAAAGGAATGGAATTGTTAGGAAACAAAAATAAGAAAAATCTCATTCACAATAGCAACCAAAAATATATAATGACTTGGAATATTTTTAATAAGAACAGTGCAGAATCTATATGAAGAAAACTATAGAACTTCACTGACATGTGAAATGAAACACCATGTTTCTGGAAGGGAATGAAGTATACATTTTTTTCAGTTTTCATCAAATAATATGATATGTTTCTATCTAATCAGACGCCAGCATATTTTTTAACTGAAAATAATTCTATAGTACAACTGGAAAGAAAAACAAATACAGAATAGTCAGTATTTTTAAAAGTACTTTTTAAAAAGAAATAATGGAAATGTATATCACATTTTAAAGTGTGTTCTGAGGCAAGAATAATTAAGCTGCACACAAAATTAGTTCACAAATGTTATAAAATGCAAAGCCCCAAAACATATTTACATAAATTTAAGAATTTATACATGGTAAAGGTCACATTTCA